TTTCTATACGCTGTTTATGTAGAACATGACTCACCAAAAATGCACTGCTCAACACATCGGTTCGCACCATTGTTAATAGTGCGACATGGTAGTTACTATTTTATTCTTAATCGTGATGTATACTTATATACGTACACTCACACACAGAACATACTATATATAAATATGTAAATATATATATGTATGTGTAGCAGAAGATTATTTTAAGTACAGACATATACATGCTTCATACAAATATAAACATTCAATAGTGAACATATGTATTGTTAAACACGATTACTGACTTATATTTAGAAACATACTATTCTTGAATCTATATTTACATACATGAACATATATATACACTCATGAACGTATGTACTGACATATGAATACATATTCACACACAACGACACTAGCATCCAAACAAGAATATATATATTTATAAAGGTGGTTAAAATCAATGCATGAATCGATATGTTCATACATGAAGCTGTTGTTGCGTAGGGATAGGTGACGATTGTGCGACGGCCGACCTGGGGGAAGTCGCTGCTGGTGAGGGTTGCGTATTCGCACTGTGAAGGCCAGAAGGTGTGTATTAGAGACCGAAGCACCGCATACTATGCTCTTGCACACGTATGTGTGTAGATTTATACACGTGAGTGGATGTGTACCCGTATATAGGCCAGTGGACTTGTCCGCGTACATTTAGACCATATTCAATTCTTTGTATATACACAGACACCCCCAAGACGAGCTTTATGGCTATTATTGATAAATTCGTGAATGATGACGTTTATATTTATCCATGACAGCTAAAATTCGTACCACCTAGAAGCAACATTCCTCTGCATAATTTTTTTTCTTCCATTTATATTCACTCCAGCATGTATAAACACGTTCAGAAACCGAATTACCATAAATATGATTACATCTATGTACAGTCATACCAGCACGCCAATGCAGATAGAAACTGTGCCAACATGTAAGCACACACCCTAGACAGAACTTATTTGAATATAGAAGCGTCTATATACCTATTATTCCAACATGTTTTTACATACCCAAAAGCGGCATTGGCAGTAGAAACAGTATCGTTATACATGAACGGTGATCTAACATTTCCCATCTGCGACTGCCTCTGTTCAGGTTTAGCAGCGTTCAAGGCACCCATATTACCCCCAGCCATGTGAAAATTGCCTGTTATCACGATAAGCATTTTGTGAAATGAGAAAAAGATATACTTATACACACACACATACACAC